TTTTTTTTTTTTTTTTTTTTTTTTTTTTTTTTTTTTTTTTTTTTTTTTCAAGCAAGAAAAACATAAATCGTTGATTAAAATTTTACGTTTATATCAATCTAATTAAATACAATTTATTCAAACAAGTAGTGTAAGATTATCGAATAGAATTTAACGATAAAAGATGACTTTATTTTAAAATATACAGATAAGTCATTTTGTGAATAAATTAAATTTGCATATTTAAAATTTATAGATTTTAATCAGAGTAAGATGTGGTCATCCATACATGTCAATCTATCAACAGCGGTTTTTTTTACAATTTTCAAACCGTAGCAACAAGTATAAAAATTTTTCTAAAAATTTATTGACACCAATAAAATCTATTTTATCCACTTATTTGTTTTTTTTTTTAAATTCCATCCTCATCGTTTCAAGTCATATTAATGTAACGAACCAGTACTAAAACAATTCTAGTCACAATTCATATAAATCTCCTTTTAAAATAAACAATCACTCCGTTGCACCAATATATAGTCATCAGATATGTAACCAATGACGCGACAAATGGCAAGACCTTCATCAAGTGGCAATAAATCTTCACAAAAAGGGGTATGTATGTATGTATGTATGTATAATGTCACATCAAGTACACACCATTATATTTTTTCACTCGTCCAAAGTTATCACATGAATCATGATTGTGGTGTCAATATCCGTGCACCTTCGTATGAAATAACAAAACACACACATTGTATTTCTATTAATTCAGCAAACATCGATCACACAGAAGGGCGATGGTGAGGGAGGAAGGGGGGCAAGGGGGCAAATATTTGTATCGACCAGGTAGGCATATCAATCTCTTTACTCGTGGAACGTACCTCCACCATCGAATCACGTCAACAAAAACCTTTTTTTTTTTTTTTTTCTCATCTCCTCAATTTTCATCCTGCACTTTGCAAATCAACATTCACACCCACGATCCTCCAAAAGCACCAGCCACCAAGGAGGTGTCAATGGTTCCTATCTTCTCCTATTCTTCGAAAGCTTTCTCCAACAGCTCTCACCCGAAAGACACAGCGCCCCTCCGTATATACACAAGTATGAAAGCTCCGTCGAAGACGCTCACACAAAATTCCCCGTATACAGACACCGCGTATTATATATACATGTCCGCAGGGAGGGCGCTCAGTGGTGCGCGAGATATGGCTGAAAAAAAAAAAAAAAAAGAAAGGGGAGGTCGGTGGCTGTAACTGGGCGCACATCCTCCTCCTCTCCAAGATACGAAGCTCTGCACGAGATCGCAGAGAGAGAAAGAGAGAGGGCGGAAAAGATGAAGAAGACGAGGTAGATATCGCGGGAGAGAGGGAGGGAGGGAGGGGGTGGGAAACGACGAGAAAGAGAAGCCAAGCGCGAACGAGGCTCCCTGTACATATCGTACGGCTAGAGAGATAGGGGTGCTGAAATCGCGGCTTTAGCCGGGAGGGTGTAGAGCGGAAGGAGGGAGGGAGGCTGAGCACATCCGGATTCTCTCTCTCTATGGTCGCGCACGCGAGGGTAGAGAGCGTGGGCCGGGTCTGTCGTCATGGTTACCGCGGGAGACTGCGTTGAGCCTCTCTTTCCCCCCCCCCTTGGCTGAAGCTCAAGCTATCCCACTACCCTCCAGGGTGGACGGATCTACTACACCGGCCGCCATCATCGACACGCCAGGCTTGCCGAACCCACCATCTTGCCGTTTTATCGCTTATCTCTACGATGGGATGCTTTTTGCTTTCTCCCTCTCTCCTCGTCACTCGCTGGTCTGGATGGGGTTTTATTATTTTTCAACTTTGTCTATCTATTGTTTCGATCACTCATTTTATTATTTATTTTATTTTATTTTTTTCTTCTTTATACGAGTTATACGTTTCGGAAACATATGAGGTGGCAACAATATTTCTTTCTCCATTCAATATACGCATAAAGGATGCGCGAGGGATGAACATTCATGGAAAACAAATGCTTCTCGGACACGTAAACGCGCAAAGCATCAGTATACGAAGGAAAGACCGAGGGAAACATTCTTTGTATGTATAATATACTTATAGGGTAAGTCGAGCAAATTGGGGACGAAATCGTCGCGTTTTCCAAGTTTTCGATGCGCGACGCGCTGACCAGAGCGGAGGAATTGTTTTTCTGCCTCGGCGATTCCATGCTTTATTCATTTTGCTCGAGGTCCGGGGCCATTTTACGTACACCCACACTCGTCGCTGCCCAGCCCGTGGGGGACAATAAAAATACCGCTTCTCCTTTCCATTGTACGGGAATGAAGATGCTTCCCTTCTTTTTTGCGGCAATTCCGTCTTTGAGGGAAAACACATCGTATGGTCGTCGTTGGTTGTCCATAGACCCACCGTTTGACTTTTCTCATACGAAAACAATATGTTTCATAAAAAAAAAGTCCTAATTCGTACATTTAGGTGTACACAACTTGTTAGAATAGATACCCCGATAAATTGTAAAATTATACATGACAACGGTATATCTAGCTTCAGAGCATCCCATTGTGCAGGTGCTTATGTGTATACACGTAAACAGAAGGACGTGTAAATCCATGTATAGGCGGCCGCGTCGATCAGGAAGTTCACGGGCCAAACTCGGGCAACAGCAATAAAGCGCTCGCATCCCGTGGATCCGTGCACGTGCGGGTGTGTCCTCCCTCGGGGAGATTTCGGTTTCACATGGTCAAAAGCCATTCCGCGTTCAGGTACGCGCACCTACACGTCATCGAGAAAGAGAGGCGCTCGCTAGATAGCTCGACTACACAGGGAGCGTTTATACCGGGGAGGAGCCGATAACGTGATTTACGGGCCACGCGGTGGCGCATGGGGTAATTAATGGGGTCCTCCGGGAGATGAGAAGTCGCGCTTTAAAATAAGAGGGAGGGCAGGAAAAAACAATCGGAAATCGACGACGTCGGTGGAGAAGTACCTGCACTCGGATATGTTACGTGGGTATCGGTGCTTTTCTCCGCTCGTCGCCGCGACTTTATGTGCTCACTCTGTACCGCTCCGCTTGACAAATTGTATCACAACGCCTGGCTGTGTGTCCGTATAGGGGGGCCATTTCGCCCTTTTTTTCACTTGATACGGTTTTTTTTATTCACTTTCTTTGCACTTTGTTTCCTCCAAACTAAACCGTCATGTAATTATTTGGATTTGGTGTTCTCCAAAACTTTTATTTTGTCTTTTATTTTTGAAGAAATATACCTAAATAACCATTGAAAATTACGTACGTAGAAGTGCTGATGTGGAAATCGGTATGAAACCGATCTTTCAAGACCGGCACTGTGACGGGGATAAAATACAGTATATAATATGTGTGAAGGAGAATACGTGGACATATACGTACACTCACCGGTAATGGAAGCCGTGGGCGAGATGGCCGCAGTGTTCGCACGGGGTGGCGGGGAGAAAGCCCCGGCGAGGTAGCCACCCCGATCGGCCAAGGCCTGCTTGGCCTTTTCGACGCTCTGCTTGAGCTGTTGGAACGTACTGCCGCACGTGAGGCCCCGGTACGGCCAATTTTCATGCTTGACACCGCCACCACCACCAATGGTGCTATTGTTGTTGTTGTTGTTGTTGTTGTTGTTGTTGTTGTTGTTGTTGTTGTTGTTGTTGTTGTTGGCAGGACCGGTAGTCGGGGTCGCGCCAGCCGGGGAGTTTGTGGCTCCGGTCCCGCCACCCGCGGCCGGTCCCTTGAGATCGAGCGCGCCTGCGTACGAACAGCTGGCGCTGTCGTACATCACCAAAGCGCCCCTGAAACATTTTGCCATCAAAACAATAATAATTATAGGTAATTTACCTATTTTACCTATAAAGGATATAATTGAGATCACGAGATTTGTTTTGTGGGACAATACAATGGGAAAAACAACTGCTCGGACTGCTTTTATATTTTATCATCGGACTTTTTGTACCTTAAATTTTGTCCAAAATACATAAAAAATGATGGTACATTTTGAGATGATGATTTTTTTTAAGCTCCCAAGAGTTGCTGGGTAACTAAGTTTGCCACGTTATTGCGATCATGTAGAGACTCTGGGGTCGAATTAAAGTCTCGACCGTGTCTCATGTACCAAAACGTGTAAACTCTCAAATTGACACTAAAATAACACGAATCACCTATCTTTCTGCGGGTTTTCTTGCAGTGATCCAAAAATTTTTTTTTTTTTTTTTTATTCACAAAAAGCTGGGCTTGAGATTCTGACACGACTTTCCAAATAACCGTGCACACACGCTCGAGGCAAATTCTAAAAAAAAAAAATATAGTGCGCATGTAATTGCATCATTAGAGCCGGAAACGAGTGAGACTCTGCGCGCGCGAGACTTTACGGTTGCAGGCAACATAAAAATGCGCGGCGTAGGGCATGCAAGCACGAAAAAAATTCCAAGCGCTTATGCAAATGTAATACACGTGTGCGCTCATCGCGAGAATCGCTTCTTTGTGTTACGCTAATGGGACCCCTTGTCAGGTAATAAGTTTCAATCTGCAGGTGTTGGACGGAATGGCACCCACGTATACCGACACCAGCTACATTGGTTAATTTTTTTGTTTGTTTTTTTTTCGCAAGCCCTCGCTTGTATATGTACCACGTGAATTATGCAATGCTTTTTTTTAAAATCGCAATTCAACCATCCAATGATGCATCGGGTATATTTTACAGAGAATCAAGTTGATCGAGCTTAATTTGAAATATCCCCAATTTTCTCGCACAGTATACGGCAAAAAAGGGATGTACGGCAGCTGTTAAGGTAGACCCATAATTCATGATGGTTTGCACGATTGACATCACGTTAATTGAGCACAATAAAATTTAACAAACGCACATAAAAGTTGGAACTTTGAGTGTGACGTGTAGTAGCGGGTATAATTGAACGAGACCGCAAATTGCTCGTGTGACTACATTAAAAAACATGCCAACCGAGCCGTTAAAATATCATTGCTTATACGACGGATCAGAAGTTACAAGTTGAGGTAAAAAGTTAATTGATTTCACTGTTGTTAAAGACGCGCAATCACGCACAAATGCTCGTTCTTGATTGTACACAAGTAGGGTACACAAAAGACCGAAATATTGGTCGCGCGCGTGCACCAGCGCACTTGTCACCATCACAAAGGATAATATATGTATTATAGTACTCATCACTCATCGTATCTTTGACACACGAACATCGTCAGCCAGTGTATACAGCAACACCCACGCGTCCCACCCCCATCACATTGGTAAATATATACCCATCATCACCCACGGACCGTCACCGTCAAATCCATCAAACACCTGCGGAGTAAAGTTTCACCAGGTAATACCTACACTAAAATCCAAATCTTTCCTCACAGAAATATGTGTAGGTGATCGCGAGGGTATACAGTGGGACAGCAGGTTGCGTCTCGCGATGACTGCCAGACTACACGACTTGCTCGTAGTCGACTGCGACGACGACGGCAGCCGCGGCCAGCAAATTGCCTGCTTCCGGGCCTCATTACATCACTCTGTTACTCTGTTAACGCTCGCCGGAAACCCCCTTTTCTCTCTCTCTCTATGCGAGCTCCTATATAATACGTACACGTGTATAGGTGTATGTTGTCTCTCCTCTCTCTCTCTCTCTCTCTCTCTATACGTGAGCTATGTGTACTCTCGTCTCTAAACTCTCTCTCTCTCTCTCGTGTATGTATATCTACGCGATGTACCTATCATTTGTGCATGTGGACTATACGCACTGCCCACAGGGGCGGAGGGGTCCATTTAAATGCAAAGTGGCTATACGTACACGCGTGTGTTGGGTTCAGGAATTTGATGCGCGTAGGTGGTTAGCCGTATATGGGTATTGTATACACCAAGAAATGGTTTTTTCTTTTTTTTTGGAAATAACCATACAACATATTTTAATGGTACAAGAGATTTTGTCTCTCTGTATACGGAGAGTCTCCGGTTGGTGGTTTGTTTTTTTTTGCACTTTGCGCGTAGGTAACAGGAAATCGGTATACACATATTGTAGTGTCGCTATACGATACGTATCGCGCAAAGCTTGTCTTTTGTTTCGTGTATTTCTTTTTTTTTTTTTTTTTTTTATCTTGAAGCCGTGGCCGGAAGAGAGGATAAACGAGTAAAAGAGTATAGCCTGCCATTTGCTGGAATCCAAATGACAGACTCGTCCGCACTAGTGTATAGCCAGCGAGCCTCGACGTCGCTTCGTTACTCTGGATCACCGTGTCAATGAAAAATTCATACGCTGAGCTGATAGCTTCCCTCGTGCTTATAATCATCACCAAGTCCCGCGGGTGTCGTTATTTTTTGTGATTCGCGACTTTTCATTCAAAAGTCGCGTACAGGTTCATCCGTGCACCAATACCTGGTAGTCCGACGTAAGGTATGAGGATATTGTTGAAAGGTACGCCGAGCCAAGACGGGACGGAGGACGTACGTTAGAATCAGCAGTGAAATCCAAACAACAATTATAATCAATTGTGTCGTATCTCGAGCCGGAAGTGTATACAACATGTACATCGGAAACGGCGATGAAGCGGCGCGTTGCGTAATTTTGCGCAAACTTTTTCTCGTTTGGTGATATACCAACAATTGTTCATAATCCCCCTAAGAGCGTATAAAAAAATATCAACGGGATCGGGCACTTTTTTTTGTTCCGGGACGCGCGGAAAGCTTGGCAGAGCTTCAAGCCCGTCGTGTTATGCATCCTTTGATTCTTTTATTTCCCTTTTTTCTTTGTTTTTTCTTCTTTGTCTCTCGAGCAAACCACTGGAAGCAAAAAAAAAAAAAAAAAAAAAAACAGCTCGAGCCAAAAGCGCAAAGTCGGCGTGTTTACCATACACCACACGTATGCGTAGCAAAGAAGTGGACACGGGTGCTTGGGCTTGCTGGCGACATTTTTTTTTGTTCATTATCACTCGTTAACGCCCTTTTAACGAAGATTCCCTTAGTTTTGCATATTTGTACTTTTCACGCTTTTCGCGGCTCAAAGATCACAAGCGTTTCAAAAGCTCGCTGAGCTTGCAAGCACTCGCATGACCGATCCCAACTTACACCCGACAAAACTCACTGATAAAATCAGCCTCGCGGGAAATGAAGACTCCACTGCTGGAATGGGTACTTTGGATGATGGAAAAAAGTGCCAAATTCAATCCCATCCCATTATTTAACCAATTGGTACATAATGAATCTCATCGAACTCGTAACACACGCGCGATAATCTATCAGCATCAGGCACACACGCGCCGACAATCGGGTGCCATTGTCTCTCGAACAAAACAACGCACCTAATGCGATTCCGGTAGGAAGAGGGGGTGGGGGGCATACTAAATAATATGCACAAATTGTACGAACACGATAGCATAAGTATACAATGATGGGTTGAACGACAGAGAAAAGCCGCTCTACAGCGCGTACACGAGTCGCAAGCTGTAGAGAATTAAACACGGGCGCACATGCAGCATATAATATACGCGGCGACGGAAAGTATCGTATACTATATACATCTATTTTCTATATTGTGCGAGCAACAAAGCCAGCCGTCGTGTATTAGTTGAGTTGCAAGAGCGCAGCAGCTGGCCTATGTGATGTGCCGGCCGCTGGTATACGGAGCGATACCACAGTGCGCCAAATTATTCGTAACGCGCTGCTCGTTTATTACCACTTATTTTACAATTTGCATGGCCAGTGCATCATGTAACACACACGCACACACGACTGCGTGCACATCAAATGCGGTTGTGTGCGCGCGTGCATGTATATACTACGGAGCCGACGGCGGCTGGTGTCGGATGCGATTTACCTTTTTTTCTTTCAAATAAACGGAATAGGTAGACACCGGTTCGAGCATTTTTTATATTATTCTTTTTTTTTTTTTTTTTTTTTTTTTAATACAAGTATAATAGCGTTTCGGCTTTTTTCCCAAGTGTACATGCGCAAGCTTGATGATATAACATGATAGGTGAGTGGCTTTTTTTTACCCAAACGTGCGGGCTGATTTATGTACAACTTTAACTCGATGTATTATTCGCTCTTCCCGTAACTGCCCATGTACCCAAAGCAATTTCACCGGTCGGCTAAAAGGGCGTGATTGGGAGGTTGATTTTACTACAGGTGCACTGTTATTTTTGCTTATCAGATTTTTGTACGATTATTTGAAAGAAAAAAAAAAAAAAATTCCTTCACTTGTTTCTTAATTGGATCATCATGTGGTAACGAGAAGCTTTTCTACTTGATCCACACGCTCCAAACGTACCGAGATAAAAATGTAAACTTGAACTTGAAAAATTTTATATTATACGCGCAGTCATAGAAAATTATCGATATACAGGTAGGCGGAAGGAAAAAAAAAAAAAAATGTTTTCTTCACACCAAACATAGCAGGTACACACGCTAGAAGCGAAACACCCGTACACTAATCATCCCCCCTTCGGTGGTAATAAATACAGGTATACGTGTACGATGCATATGCATCAGCAATGATTTATACCACATTGGCAGGGCGGTACAACCGCTGCTTCATACATCAGTGTTTACATTAATGATCGTATATCACGTATACGCGGGCGCGCTAAATCCGAAGATACGTTTTCGTCTCCGTTACACGTAAGCTCTGCTACACGGCACGCACACACCGAGGGAATCGTTTTTTTTTTTTTAAACTAGAATTCAAAAGACAATCTTTGAGCTCGTCGTTATTATATTCACATCACTGGGGCGTTTGCCGATTTATGATTTAACGAAAAATAATGAAAACCGACCAGAGTCCGGGAATAAATATAAGTTGTGCGATAATTCGTAATATAAACGTGTCAAAGAAAGAAAACTCACCGTCAGAGCGGGGAAGCTTCGCCGTCCGTGACTTCCGCGTAATTTCCAGGTCCCTCGCTCTCTTCTCTCGCAGCTCGATGGTTTATCCAACAGCCGGCTAGTCGTAGCTGATACTACGCGCTTTTGGCAGCTCGTGCATTTACACCCTGGAAACCTCGCACCCGCGGTGGCGATGGTAGTCTTATTTTGGCGCGTGTCCTGAAACGCATCGACCGAAGCGAAGGAAAGAAAGAAAAAGAAAAAGAAAAAACACACGAGCAAGGCAAGGCGCAACCCTTACACAGTGCGACAACGAGCACTAGCCGGCGAGCGTCAAACGAGAGAACAGACAGAGCTTGACTAGCGGGTGGAATAGCGACGCGAAGGAGAGGAAGAAGAGTACGCGCGAGGGTTGGACGGGAGGGTGGTGGGGTGGTTGCTTGGACCGAAGATAGAGAGAGAGAGAGAGAGAGAGATACCGGTCGGTGGCTATTGGTTGGCCATCGGAGTCTGCGCTCTCCCGCCTCTACGTTGTCTACTCCCCGGGCTCCGGTGTATCTCTCGGCGCAGAGGCGGGATCATCCGCCAGGGTGGATCTGTCGGTCGGGGGTGAGTTTGGCCACCCCGCGATCCACCTCTCCGTACGCGTGGATCTCTCTCTTTTTCGAAGAGGATGCGCCCTTTGCGTTTTGCACCAGTACGTATACGTATTTATAATATATTTACGTATACATATGCACCTAACTTGGATGATCGTTTGCGTGATAATGTATAATATATGTAATTTGCTCCCGGTGACTGTTACTTTTTACGACAGCCAGAGGAGGAGGCCGTGTATACCGATAAGCGGAGGGCGAGCTTGGAAGAAAAGTTTTTCTCGAGAGGGATACTTTCACCATATCCAGTCCTGTTGTTTTTATTTCGCGACAATGAAACGTATAGGAGAAAACCCGGGCGCCCCTTCGTCACAGGCAACCGTCCTTACCTACCTCCAAGACGTTTCGCGGAAGGTATCATGCTGGGGGGTCGGAAGTAACGGGGACCGAAGACATCGGTGCACAAGTTTTTTTTTTCCTCATTATTATGTATATTGTCTTTTCTTTTTCTATCGATGATTACAATGCATCTGAATAACCATTAATAACGATGTATAGAGCTTTTTTGGTAGCTTATTTATTTCATGTCATTGTTGTGAAACTTAACAAAATTATGCCTAATGTTAAGATAAAAAATCATGTATAATAAATTATATACATAAGGTTACAATTGATTTCACAACTTGAGCAGTGATACATTTGTACCAAAAAAAATTGTGTAAAAAATGAACAAAATATTGCTACCGTATTAAAAATTCTCATGATATTATGTTGTAGAAGAAAAGAAAATTAGTTCTTTTATGCGCTACGCTGATTTTCTATTTATACTCGAAATAATCTGGCCTTGAAAGTCAATGTTGACAACATTTTTTAAAATATGGTCAATTAGTTTTTCAGTATTAAATATAAATAAAAATTGATGAGCTCATTTTGTTAAATAGTATAGTCTGAGTTAACATGAAAAAGGATATAAGTATAGGATATGATAAAAAATATTTCTGCAAAATAATTAATTTCTGTATCAATTCAATAATGCTGTAAGTAAATATAAATTATTGGCAATAAGTAAAAAACATAATTTACGTTTTTGCCAACTGATTAACATATTTACATCACAGTAAACCAATAAACCAATCACTATAAAATGCAGTTACACTGAAACTCTACAAGTGGATCGAGCATGGAAGGGCTACTTAATTTCAAATGTTGTAAATACTGTTGATTCTTAATAATACAACGACCTTCTGTTGCTCCCATTGATTTGCATTTCTGATTGCAATCTTGGTTAGTTTTACATACTGCATTCTGACATATTCCTGTAATCAAACAATATTTTTCTATATGTTTCGAGTACATGCTTCGTTCAACTACAATATATAGTAAACAGACTAGCGAAAAAAAAAAAATAATAATAATTTGACTTGTGCTAAGAGGGAAAATCTTATTTGGCATAAGACTTCATTTTATTGTTGCCTTTTTTTTCTATCACAGAACGGAATAAATTCCACCTTTTCTAAAAGTCACAAAGTGCTCTGTATTTGAGAGATTATTGAGTTTTAACTGCTCGGTATACAATGTTGATGTCAAGAAAAATTTTTCTTTTTATTTATTACACCTTTGGGTTATGTTACAAGAGAATAATTATTTTAAGTCTAAAATGCGAGACCACCAAATTTTCGTACTTGGGAATTTCACCATTCTTTTTTTCTGTATATTACGTGGCATCTGCACCGAAGCTCGCTGCTGTTGTGTTGAAGCAATTTATGTTATTTAACTTTATATTTGACATTGGTACGAACTACATTTCAATTAAAGGGTACAAAAAAAAATTTGTGAAATATTAGACACATCCGAAAAATGAAATGGCCCAACGGAAGCCTTTGATACGTTATCCCACAAAATTTAAGTTGGCCACTGCTTTTCGATTATAAATACTTTTATTTTAGTTTATCGTTAAAATCACTTACCAACAGAAATCAGCATATTCATCATTAAAATGAAAGCTATGAAGTTATGTGACTTTGGGACTCCCATTTTAATCAAAAATATACTGGCCTTTTTAGCTATAGTTTGATGTTTGCTTGAGAATTTGAGAAACGTGTAAACTCTTAACTCTTACACTTACGAACAACAGTAAGTCAATAGCTCAGGAAGATAGACCTCGTGTTTTTATACCCAAGTGAAACGCAAATATCTAAAAAGTAATTAATCTTTTTTATTAAAACTACATTAACAGACAGTTTTTTGTAAACTGCGTTTGCTTGCATTGCCATACATGTTATTGCCAAATAAAAGATGTATGCACCCATACATGGTACTTACGTATATTATATAGACACTAGACGCATGAACGGTCAGCACGTACAGAGAAAAAAACGTTAAGTTTCGCTAAAGAGTAGTCAACCTAATTCAGGGATTCCCTCGATTCTGTATCAATCGAAGGGGTTGTACATACATTGAGCCCCAGAGCCGCCATATTATGTCGTCTCGTCCATACCAGTTGAAACAAAACAAAAAAATCTTGAGTCTTCTTTTTGTTTCATCACCAGGGAGGTGCGTATATTATCAATAAAAAATTAATGTATATGCCCAAACGCAATTGCAAATGTATGCGTAAGTTGAGCCGATGTTAATCACAGAGGCTGGCACACCCACGCACAAGTATACATGATAGAGAGACAGAGAGAGATGGAAACACAAGGGAGCGAAGAAGAAGATAGAAGAAGGTAGCGCAGGAGAGAAAGAGAGAGAGAGAGGGAGGTGGAGTACGACGTGAGTTAGAGCTTCCTGCGTGGAGCTTTGCTCGCATCCAAGCTCAGTAGTCCGCCTCCTCCTCCTCTTCTCGCTTTTACCCCCCCAAAAGCTCCTGTATAGCACACCCACCAGCAGCAGCACGCTTGGCTAATGGCGAGGGAGGAAATATCAAAACTTGTCTCTTCCACCTCCATCTTCCCCCACCCCCGTACCACCTTATACTTTGGCTCGCGGAGTGTAAACTTTCGGGGGTTTGGATATGTTCCACCCCCCATCCCCCCCACCCTGAACGCGCCTGATAAATCTTTCCCCTCTCTCGTTATGGAGATTCGTTCGTCGTTTTCTTTCTTCTCGATCCTCACATTATACAGTGCACGGCCTCTCTCCGAGTTCGGGAGTAACGGAATATTCTTGGTTGGTACACGTAGAATATATATACATAGGTGGAGGAGGCCGAAGGATTGCGGATTCTAGTTTGACTTGATGGCCGGGAGACACGCCCGGGAGATTTATGGGCGGACGCGGGGACTCGAGGTGCGACCTTCCACCCCCTACCCCCAACCAACTCTGTTTTTTTTTTTTTTTTTGTGTGTTTTGGTTCCAAGTGAAATTAACCGGCTTAATATTAAAAGTCCTATGGAGTATGTATACAAATCGTGGAATCACTTCATTGCTCACTCTCCATCGCGTACGACATTTTTAAGGGACAATTTACACACACACACACACACACATACATACACTAAAGAGCCACACCATAAATTTGACTCGCACTCAACGCATGAAATGCACTTGCATGGAAATGTATGTGTACTTATACACGAGGACATGAAAGAAAAAAAGATACGCGATTTATCCGTGTGATGTTGGAAAAAAAAAATGGTACAATCGCCATTTGTCACGTGAGCGCGTTACGCGGGTTCAACAGGTTACAGCACGAGAGGGAGAAAGAAAGGCACGTACAGAGCAAGTAAAGACTAACGTTTATTTGTATACCGATTCACCTATTTATACTCTTGTACTGCTAAATTTACAAAATTTATCACAGGTATAAAGTACAAGTACTTTTCTACCCTCGTATGTACATCTTACATATATATGTTTTACACGCCACCTAATATACCGTCTCTTTTTGTGTAGTTGGCACATTCGGAGTATTCGGACAATCGCGTTCTTTATCACGCGATATTCTCGACTCTCCCAAAGCTATTCGTATAATTTATAACACTCCCCCCCCCTCTCCACTCGTGCACCCCCTCTAAATTAACATAATTTTATTTGCATACGCGCCGAGTTGCCGTAAATTTCGAAGAAATTTCTCAATTATATCAACCATACTCCACGTTAACCCGATACTTTCAACGTAAACTCTCCGCATGTTATACCTAAATACATGTACTACCCGCTACACCCATATATAAATGTAAAAGCGTGTACACAGTGTACGATGCATATGTATATATACACACGTGGCATAAATTCAATCGACTTGGCCACCCCCCGTCGATTAATCGCGGCTCAGCTCACCACATCCCGAAACCCATCCATCCATCCATCCCGTCAATTGACAAGGAGGAGGAGGAGGAGGAGGCGGCGACGGAGCTACAATATACAAAATATACCCATGTATACGCTTTCGCAATGCACTTGATAGGTAAGTATAATATACACATAAATATTGTGCATCGCATCGACCAGCAATCGTAAATGTATGTGTACATGTAT